TCTTTAGCAATTACTATTTTCAAATATTATCCCAAAATTTTTTGAAAAATATATTATTGAGTTTATTATACTAGAGTTTTGTTCTAAAAATTCAAAAAATTTAACCACTATTTATGCAAAACTCTTAAAACCCTTACATTAAATTTTAAAAAATAGCATATTAAGCATAAAATAGGTTTTATTTAGAGTATTATTGACAGTATTAAGTCATCTGTGACTGAAAAGAGCTATAGTTAGCAGAAATTAATTTTATTAACCATCAGTAAGCCATGCTATTTTATGGAACGGGATTTCCATTTTCTTTTATACTGTTGTTTTGCCATAATATTTTAAAAGAAAATAATCTTTGATACTGTTGTTCTTATCTTGATTTTTAGCGATTTGATATGAAACTGACTGTTCTAATCTTTTCGAATTCTGAAGAAAATAAAGCCCTCTTTCTCCCTTTGCTGAGGAGGTATATGATGTGAAAGCTAGAAAAATAATTTCCCTGCCATCTATCGGAATCTTTTGAAAACACGTTTAAAATAATAAACAGTACCCTCTTTATATGGCATTTAAAAGATTTTTTTAAAATTATTATTTCAAATATAAATATGATGCTACATGGAAAAATATTCTTGCTATGTAAATGAAAAAGAAATATGTTGACCATTTTTAAAGTATAATTTTGATTTTCATTTATAGTCTGTGCTAAAATTTAAAATAAAATCATTTTATCAGTAAATCGTTTTATTCTAAATTGTCTAATATTTTGAAATTCAATTAATAAAAATTCCATATATTTTTTTATTATTTAAAAATGAATTTTTAAAAACAGAATGTCTTTAGCAATTACTATTTTCAAATATTGCCCCAAAATTTTTTGAAAAAAATATTATTGAGTTTATTATACTAGAGTTTTGTTCTAAAAATTTAAACACATTTTATTTATGCCAAACTCTTAAAACCCTTTTTTAATCCTGTTTTTAAAAAGTAAGTAATTAAACTGAGATTTTAAGTTAAAATAAACATTAAATATTGAACATTTAAATAGATTAAAACAATTTATATAAATTAAAAATGTCCTATTTTAACATTTATTATAACATAATACTTAAATTGTAATTAAAGTTAGCAAATTAATAAAATAAAAAAGTATATTTCATAAACAATCGTTACTTTGAACTAAAATAATTTATGATTAAAAGGAGGATTTCAGCATTCTTTTCGGGTTAATGGCCAATTTTTTTATCAACTCTAAACTTATTCATTATTAATAAAATAATTCTTTGTAACCTTACAATTAATTTATGGTATACATATGAAGGTCCTGTAACCAATTAAGTGCAAACGGCAAAACAGCACTTTTATTTTCCGGGCCTATATAAGTGACGAGTTATTCCGCCGCTTCCGATAATGCCTCAAAACCAACGGTAACGGACCGCATTGTATTTGCCGTTAACGTTCCGAAAATGCCAGCTTACAGCCTTACGTTTGCCGCGAGGTGTGTGCTTACTGGGATTATTTATTTTCTTAATCTTATGATAATTTTTACATAATGAAATTAACTTAAATGAAATTATATTTGTTTGATATTAAAGCATGGATCTGCTTAGAGTATTTAAAAAATGTAGACAAAATGTTGGTTTATTAGAATAGTAGCATATAATAAGTTGTTGAAGATCCTGCTATTGTTTTTTTTAACCACTTTTGTAATAACTTTTTTTTAAAAATTCAATAATAAAAAAATTAAATGTTAATTTAGTCTAAAGTGAATAATTTTTCCACAAATACAAAATTATTTTTAAGCTAAATAAAGTTATTTCATTGATTTTATTTAGCTAAAAACAAATAATGAACTGAAACATCCGCAACTTTCATATTAATTTTTTCAAGGATTATGGCTTTTAAAGTTTCTGGGATTTTTGTAAAATAAAATGTTTTAAATAAGTTATAAGTTAGTGGTAGAAATCAATTGCGTTGTAACTTACAGTAAGGCGAATTTTTTGTAATAAGTTTAACTAAGTTCCTTTGAAAAGTCGTTCAACTAGTAATTAAACTTCTTTTTTGCAACCAAGTTTTATTGTTCTTATTTATTAAATATTGAAAACTGATTTAGAAAT